GCACCCAGTGATAGGACGAGGGGTAATGGGCATAAACTTGAACATAGGAAGTTCCATCTTAACATGAGAAGGAACTTCTTTACTTTGAGGGTAGTGGAGCACTGGCACAGGCTGCCCAGAGAGGTGGTGGAGTCTCCCACTCTGGAGACATTCCAAACCCGCCTGGATGCTGTCCTGTGCAACCTGCTGTAGGTTACCCTGCTCTGGCAGGAGGGTTGGACTAGATGATCTCCAGAGGTCCCTCCCAACCCTAACCATTCTGTGAATTCTGTGAATTCTGTGAATACTACAGCATGCTAATACCAAACTTTATTTAACCACCTTGAAGTAAACAAAACAGGGCAACCCTTTTAGGAAGAGCTAATAGATGAACACTTCAAAAAGTGCTGTATATAATTTGCCATTCACTTAACATTTCCCATGCAATACCATGATGATACATTGCCCTTTGTCTTTCAGTGGAAAGCCAGCTACTGCTTTGTGACCTTATTTTGAATTTCAGCCATCCTATGAAGGCCAAAGATTTAAGAGAAGCTGAAGAAAAAACTTGGAGTTTGACAGATTAAGTAATATACATTTTCATGCATTGTCTTCTTTGAGTACTGCTTCCGTTTGAACTGTAAAGTGATAGTATGGTTTCCTGCAGTTAGGCTATTTTTATTTTAAACTGAAAATGCGGAGTGGAAAAATGCTGTAAGTAGGTTATTGATTTTGAGAGGGTTTTTTTTTTGACCCAAATTTCCCAGATTAAGCCCACTAGGGCTGGAAGGACTGGTACTGTTAACTAGAAAGGTCAAGAAAATGGGTGTGAAGTTTTTCATATGTGGTTGTCTCCTTTTAAACAAAAACATACTGGAACAGTAACAAAAGATTTCAAATTATGTCAAGTCACTGCTTATCTCTTATCTCAGTTGTGTGCCGGAAAATGGGATAAGAAACAGTCAGTAAAGGAGGAACTGCAACTTGTCATTTGATCTTCCTTCCTCATTCTAAAAATGTTGCTGAGGAGGGGGCCAAAGAGCAGATTACTTCTGGAAAACCGAAACTACTTTCATTCTAGTTTCTGTAGGGACTTTCTAATGCACCTAGCTACAAAAGAAAGAAAGAAAGAAAGAGTTAATGGTCTAAATACTCTATCCTGAGATCTTCTTGGCCCAAAATTTAAGTAGCCAGTATATTCGTGTAGTTCATTAAAAATAATAGTAAATCATACTTTACTTGTGGACATGTTTGAATGTTGAAGTCTGTTTTTCTTCATATACAAAATATGTTTATCTGAATAATCAAATCAAGATCTACTGTGCTGAAAAAAATATGCAGTGCTGTAATTTGTTATGCTGGTTTGTATTTTATTTCTCTTTCACTAGTCAGATGATTTAAAACAAATAAAACCCAATTCCATAGGAAGTGTTTCTGGGTTGTGAGACTTTTCAAGGCAGTGCAATGGAATAGAATTACAACCTCCAGCTCACAGAATAATGGGGGTAATATGGGGGATGTAGTTCTTAATAAGAGCAATTTTAGAAAAGCATACATTTTAACTGACTTTTCCTTTGCAAGATTAGAAGTGAGCTTTTAAAAAAATATTGGGCTAGAAACAGGTTTTGTCAGCTGAATAATTTTAAAAGTTTTATTTTTCATCTTTTTTTTTTTTTATCGTAGTTGCATGGAAATGAAATTCACTAACTTGGAATTCCAGCTCCTAGTTAAATATATTAGAAAGGAAGATAACTTTTGCCAAACATATATATTTAAAGTAAAACTGTTTATGAAATCTGATTACCTTATCTGAGAAACTATACAGATTACATGAAAGATATTTTTCTGCTTTGAATTTTGGTTTAAGTGTTTCAAGTGATATACACACAAATGGCTTTAAAGGAGAAAAAGTGTGACAAAGTCTAACATAATTATCAAACCAAGGTCTTGTCAGAAAGCAAAGGTTACTAGAAAACCGAGGCAAAGAGTTGGATGAATCCCACTTAGGAGAGGGGAAAAACTCTTGGTGTAGTATGTTTCAGTGGTCCTCAGTTGCAACTTATATTTTAGAACTGAGAAAGTTATTGTTTTTCTTGAAAAAATACAGTAAAACCAGAAAACGGTTGTATATGAGGAACCAAGTTTAGCCTGCGTGTGTCTGTCTGTTTTCTAAGAGACTTGGATGTGTTCTGCCAATTAAGAATCACATGATGATAATCTTGTTGATGTGTCCCCTATAAAAAAGTAGTTGCTTACTTGAGAGTCAGAAAGACACAGCAAAAGAGAGTTCCGTGTTAAGGGAGAAAAGCTTGTTTCTGAGTGAGGTTAGAGGATCCTAAGAGATACAAAATTCCAATTTGTGGGCTAAGCCATGCTGTCAGTGAATCATCAGTGGTGTGGCAGAGAGAATGTGATAGATATTTTATTTTTTTAGAAAAATGTGAACAAGAACAGTTTCATAGCTGAATAACACAAACACAGATCTTGACAAGCAGCTGCATATCCAGGGTTGGGGTTTTCTCTGGTGTCACTGAAACCTGGGTGTCTTTAGGGTCCAGGTCGGAGTCCCAGTCTTCTCATACAAGTGGCCGTAGGTAGATTTGCTGGGGAAGTGTATTGTGGGAAAAAAATGGGCTTTTACTGTTTTTTGTCTGCTCCTCAACTTTGATAAGGTTTGGGTCTACTCTGTATCACTTTAAGTAACATAATTGCTGCTGCAGTTCTGATCTGAAACACAGCTTGCTTTTTTTTCTCTCCTACGAAAGCGGAGGCTTGTATTGGTATTTATTTCAGCATCCTCTAATTTGGTGTGGAAATAATTTTGGGAATATACACAGTGTTGGAAGATAAAAATTTCTCGTGTACTGTATGATTAGTGGACAGTAGTAAACACATTGTAGGAAAATCAGATTTATAGAGTACTACATTTAAGGCATAATTTAAAAATAACATTGTCCATTTTCCTTAAAATTAAAAGGATTTTTAATTGCTTCATGATTTTTATTTGCTGAAATAGGAAATATCCTGACGTTTACAAACTTACAGGCTTCGATACTCTATGTGATCTTCATTAAGGTCTCATTTAAATATGTCCTGCAGCGTATTTTAATATGCACTGGTTTCTTGAACCTCTGTCTTTCCCATCAATCAGAAGAAGAGGTGTTCTTTGGAAGTAATCAATGATGTCTGCTACAGAAGAAAAGTCCTGTGGGATGGAAAAAAAAGAGAAGGCTATGGCAAAAATGTCAGAATTACTAGTAATTAGTAAGACCAAAAGTCTTTTTTAAAACTCTAAAGATTTAGCAGTTTTACAAGGTCCAGTAAATACTATCAGATCAGCTGGTTTTGTTCCTCCCATAATCTGTAGCTGTGTGTACAACCTACTGCACCGTTGTATAATTAATTTAGGCAGTCTTAACCTGTTTAATACTTGATGTTGTCATTCTGCTTCACATGATGATCGCACTTGAAAGTTCAAAAAGTTGACTGATAAATTCAGAGAGTTCTGACTCGATCAGAACTGCAGTATGCGTGCTGACCGGTCTGGCTGGTGGCAGTGCATCCAGCGCAGTACTGCTGGGCATAAGTAAACCAGCAGTCTGGGGCAAAGCAGCAAAGCTGGCAGATATGGATTTGCTCTCAACTCTATATTTCCCTTATCTGGTATCTTAGTGGTAAACAAGCATTCCCTAACCAGGTATATGGATTTCTAATAGCTGTATTCTAAGGCTGTCCCTTCATTCCCTGAGTGTGCAAACAGGAGAATCTGATTTTACTTCCAGCAGTAACATATTCTATCAGGCGTAACTCTAAGACAATAAGCAGAATTCCACTCGAGCGAAACAGCTGCCAGGTTAAGGAGCCTGACACTTAGGAATGAGACAGGAGATACCTTAAGATGAAGGGAAGTAGGGTGAAAAACACATAGTACCTCTTTTCCTTTTAAGCCAGTTCCTAACAAATATACATGATTTTGCTCCTGGTAACGAATCTGGATGTTGTATACTTTATCTCTGTACAACACCATCAGTACATATGGATGAGTAGCAGTTTTTCTTGAGCTGTCCCTTACCAAGAAAGTTCCATCCTGAAAGACGAAAAAGTGAAAGATGACAAATAAACGTCACTTCCTCATTTGATCAGCATAACAACCTTAACTAGAGCACTCATGCTTTGAAGTGTTTTTTCTTTCTCTTTCCTCCTGGTGAGAGAAACTGCTTTATTAAGGAGTTTAGGTCGTTTCTCAAATGGTTTGTCTTTCAATTTGCTACTTAAAACTTTCTTGTCTGATACAAATGCAGATTTTTAGGGAAGGGAGGGATGGTGTTCTCTAAGGGAGAGATTCCATTAAAGGAGGGAGTAAAATATCAAAAGCCAAACGTCATGTCACTTTAACCAGAAGAGGAGTTCATTTCTGCTAAGTGCGAGTCAAGATTCCTATGTGATCTATTTACAGACAGCCTAAAATACTGAATGTGTCTGCGTAATTATGGTAAAGCCAGTGATCCTGTCTCTCTATCTCTCTGCTTTTCTTCATTTCAGATGTGTTTTAACAAGTCTTCCGTTGAAACACCCTTTCTTAAAGGCATTGAATGTGCTCTCATAAGCTGGACCTTAGTACGAGTCACTGAAATGCTGTAAATGTCATCTTCAGCTCACTGCATGTGCTGTGAAGCATCATAGAGTAAACAGATTTCCCACAGTGACAGGATACAATTTGGTTTATCTCCACACGCACAGTTAAGCCTGGGTTTCATCTGTTTGAATCTGTACTTCATTTTCCTGGTAAATATGGCCTAGAAAAGGATGGGATTCATCTCGTCTAATTCAAGTGATCTAAAACTCGGAATTTGTAACAAATGCCTCGCTGGTGACAGAGAACTGTTTCCAGAAAACAAGTCACTTCTCCTAAGAGAGGTGAGGTGAGACTGCTTTCTGGAGACAGAATTTGTTCTCTTGGGCTATGGAAAACACCAGGCTTCATGGCTGGTTTAGACTAGATGTGTAACTTTTATGTGGTAAAGATATTCAGGTACGTTCTAATTATCAAGTATTCAAGATATTCTAATTATCTATATTGGGGCTATAACCTTAACGTGTTATTTACCTTCAGTCTTCCCATATGACTGCAAGGACATCTAGAGACCATTAAGGACATGGTGAGATTCACCAACGATTTAAAGAGTACCTTGTTTATTTTTCGAAGAGCTGCTTCTGCTTCTGGCCGGCTTACATAAGCAACATACCATTCATCATTTAGTAAGTCCTACGGTTTTTGTGAGAGAGGATAAAGGAGAAGGTCAGCTGTCAATGAATTAGCTTGTGATGTTAACAACATACAAATAAGTAGAGAGAAATTTGAATGTGAGGGCTATTTGGGTTTATGTGCAGAATCTCTGAAGGTAAGAGCTTCAGGGATCATACTAGTATATGTTACTGTACGGTAAGTGGCACTAAATGATTTTAAAATTTCATAAATTTGAAAATATTACAGACTTAGCTGTAATCTCTGCAAGTAAGTGAGGAAAATGGGTACTTCCAACTATTTTCAGTGAAAGATTTTAAGTGACATTTGCTCTTTTGTCTGCCTGAGACACCAACATCCTTTGCCTTCATTTCTCTGTTGCTTTTTTTTTTTAATTACTTTATTTTATTTTTTCTAACTATCATCTGAGACAATAATGCAGACTTCCTGTGAACATACCATGTATGGTAGCCCAACAGCGTTATCACCAGGAGTGGTTTGCTCTCAACTTGCTGTATGTAAAGAAATGTGAAACAAAAATGCACTTAAAGGGTATGAATTCTTTACTCACCGAGGTTTTGTGGAAGAGGAACTGAGTATGTAATGCTAGTTGAAGGCAATTGTGCAAAACAAGTAATCCAGCAAACAAGTATTTCTCTTACTTTGTTTTACTGGGTTTTTCTAGTGTTGTTTTTCTTGGTGAAGACAAAATATGGCACTGAAGTTTGACACAGAAAAGGAAACTGAAAGCACCTACTAACATCCTGACGTGGCTACTAACTAGAAAAACAAGTATGAAAAACGGTCTCTCTTGAAATCAGAAAATTTGCTGTGTTTAGCAGTTATGGATAATAATTGTAATGGTTTTGTACCTCATCTTCCTCTGTGTTTGTTTGGTGAACCACCTGTCTGCTAGGAATTGGCAATGGAGGTCTTATATCAGCTCCTCTTGAAGGAGATCTGCTGTTGCCTTCAAAGATATAAAAGCAGAAAAAATGTTAAAATCAGGAAAATCACTTCATCTGTGGAGTGCATACATGTTGTGGAATCTTGATTTTGTGAGGCATGAAGAATTTATATCATCACTCTGACACTGAGATATTTTGAATTGATTTGAAATCAGATTTAGGCTACTGTATGAGAACCAGGTTCTTTACATAAACTCATCCTTGGCGCACAGGGACTTTTACTGAGCTCTTGCAGTTCACATTTCCTTAAAATCAGATGAACTTGAAACAGAGGTTACATCTTTTTAGCTTCTGTACCACAATTATTCAGTTGAGAGCACCTCTGGTTTCTTTAGAGACAGAAGTAATGTTGTCTCTTTGCATCCCTTGCCTTCTTAGCAAGTAGGAACTAAAATATGTCACTGTAAGACATTGGCAGCTGTTACCATATGCAAAAAATTATTTGCAAAGCAATCGATTTCTAAGCTTCCTTTATTTTTTACCTGTTATTACAAGATAAATATGCAGCGTGTTTCACATGGGAGGTATTTTCTCCCTTTTTCGAGAGTATTGGTATACCACAGTGACTTGCAGATGGTGTTGCTCAGCTCTCAATAGTGTTAGTTATATTGAAAAGATGCTTATGGGAAGTTTTGACGATGGTTTAACTAGGCAGTAAGCCCAAACAGCATGGGAGAAAAACATCTTGATTCAGACTAAGCAAGTTACACAAGATGCCTTTCAGGAACTTGATAGTTTTCTGTTCACAGTCCAACCAGAAACATCCTCTAAAAAAAGAGACTATATTAACTGCACTGAAACCACCTTTCAACCTTTGGTCATTTTTTTACAAAAAATGTAGGAATTCAGGATACAAACCTAGATGTAAGCGTGGTGGTAGTGAGCCACTCGAAGACAGGTTTCTAGCACTGCTTAAAAAAAAAAAAAAAAAAAAAGTAGATAGTATAAATATATTGCTGTACAACATTTCTGTGCTCTAAAGAATGGATCTGGACTTTGTGCCTGTTCTACAGAATGTAAGATCCTCTTGAGACCTATGAAGGATGAGGATAACCTTCTCTTCTTTTTGTTTTTCTTTCCTTCTTTTTATGTGAGTAGATCCACCATTAAGTTTACTTGAAGCTCAGTATCTGGTAGAGGGAATCAGTAATGGGCCACCAATACTTATGTATCAGGATCAATGCAAAAACTCCTTTGGCTTGTCGAGTTTTCACAGGGAATGACTACTTTATTCCCCTAAAGCAGGAAGCACAGGCAACAGCTTTCTAGATGTTTCTTTCTGTGGGGTTCCAGTTATAGGGTAATCTTTCATGTGACTTCTTTAACACCGCTGATGCAAATGCAGTTTCTCATCATTAATGTTGCAACTATGGTTGTGGAGCTACTGGAAAGAGTCCAGCAAAGGGCCACTAACATGATATAGGACTGGAGCATCTTACATATGAGGAAAGGCTGAGGAGGCTGAGACTGTATAGCCTGGAAAAGAGAAATCTCAGGATCTTATTAATACATATAAATACCTGAAGGGTGAGCCAGGCTCTTTTCCATGGTGCCCAGTGACAGGGCCAGAGGCAGTGGGCACAAACTGAAACACAGGAGGTTCCCTCTGAACATTAGGAATTACTTTTTGCTGTGAGGGTGACTGAGCACTGGAGCAGGTTGCTGAGAAAGATTGTGACGTCTCTATTCTTGGAAATATTCAAAAGCCGCTGGGCAGTGTGCTCCAGGTGACCCTGCTTGAGCCGGGGGGGTTGGACCAGATGATGTCCAGAGGCTGCTTCCAACCTCAACCATTCTGTGATTCTGTGGGCTATGAGCTGACAGTGGCACAGAGCTCATAGCCACAGTACCATAATTTTTACTATACTTTCCCTCCTGTGTTCATTTTTTTGCTTTTTGTTAGAAAATCTATGATTTCCTTTTATGGCCTGATCCCAGAACCCATGTCCAAGATATCTTAAAATGAAGAGTCCCAATCTTTTTTTTTTTTTTTTTTTTAATTTCTTCACGTAATTGGGAACAAACTGCCAGCAGGCTCTTCCTTTACAGTTCGTATTTCTCTTCTGCTTAAATGAACTGTACAAAAAGCTCTGGTATGAGTATGCTAATTATGTTTGCACAACAAAAACAGCCTATCATGACTTATGATTCATGGGAGAGAATCAGCCAAATGGGGGACTCTGCTATATCAAAATTTGGCAATGCTGTTTGAATATATGCCGAAGTGTTCATCATAGGAATAGTTCTTATTTGCATATGACCTTGCTGTTGCTACTGCAATAGTTGTTCTACTGGAGTATCAGCAGTTCCAGAGGATGATGGTAAATGGGAGGAATTCATCAAAGAGCCATTAAAGAAAAAAATAGATTAGAAAATGTACTTCAGACTTAGACTGCAGGAGCCCACTCTAACTCATCAAAGGCTAAGTCTGCTGCACACTACACCAGAAATCAAAATTCAATTAGGGGCTCTTCCATCTAGCAAATGAAAACATGACATTCTAATATTTAGAAGTCAAAGCTGGAAGAAATCATAGTTGAAGCAAGGTTCACAATTTTAAACAGAAATTACTAACCATTAGAGTAAAATGTAGTAAAGGGGTGGTGAAGTTCTTTCAGATTCAACTCTAGACAGCTGAAGTTGTGGGTTTTTTTTAATTTTGAAGCAATCAGTAGTTGCAGCTCTAGCACTTCAACCAGTAGTTGCAGCTCTAGCACTTAGGCTCCTAGGGTATGCAGAAACCTTTTAAAGGAGGACCTCTCTGACCTACATCCTGCATAGTTTTGTAGAAGATGATCCCTTCCCAAAAGGGCTCGTCATTCTTAGGGATCCTGCAGGCAATGGGAGAGGTGTCTCAAGAATGGAAGCATTGTACCACGTAGGCCCTAAAGTACTTCCTTGATATAAACCTGAGAGATTTGAAATTTTCATGGTTGCCTGATGTACACTATCTACTTTGCTGAATACAGAGCTTCAATTATATTAAGATTTCTCCTTGACAGTAAGAACAACACAAATCAGGATGTAGTGGAGGCAAGGGTGCAGCCTGAAAAATGGAGAATGTAAAGTAGTTACCTTGTGTCGCCTGAGAAGCCTGTAGCCATCTATATACTATTATTTGCTAAATTGCAAAGAGATTGAGATTCAAAAGGAATGACACAATAATGAGTGAAACAAACCTTTCTGCACCGGGCATACTGTTAGATCCTGGCTTAGGTGGAGGCTTGACAGATTTGGATGGGAATGTATTGGAGCTGTATGGGGGCAAAGATAGCTGTGGCACTGGTCTTTGGGGTGTGGCTGTGGAGAGGAAGAGAAGGAAACTTAAAACTTATGTGAGACATTCTTAAGTGAGGTAGAATGAAGAAATGCTGTCGCATTACTGCTGTTCAATTAGATAAACATAATGGAACAAGCTGTCCTATAAAAAGTACTTGATATGTCAGTTACAGATTATAAACTCATATGGTCAACTGAGGACTTAAAATGAAGTATTAAAATTAAAAATAAACTGGAACAGGCATGAGCAACATTTACATTTTTTAAGTTCTGTTTTGGATAAGCCACAATTCAGATACCTTAACTGCAGTAGAGCAGAAGGGGGTACGTACCCATGTGTTCTGTTACATTGCTTCCAAATAGTGTATTAGAGGTTACCTTTTTCAACTTCATTCCTTGTGAGATTTCTTCCATTTTACCATAAACAACAGCATAAAATAAAACAATTTCTTTCTCCAGTGTCCTCAGACCTCAACTACTGGTAAGAGGGGAACAGATTAACTGCACTCATGCACAGCTTAAATAGCCCTATTCTTTAGGGAGTCTTAGAGGCAGCGATAATTTGTAGAGACTTGGTGAAATATATCGCTTCTGTTATGGCGTCACTTTACCACTTACTTAATTTCAGGATCCAGGATTCTGAAGTAATTTATAAATACCATTTTTACATGAAACAAGTTCTGCTTCTGTTCTTTAGAGTAAATAACATTACACAGCAGACTAGCACCAGCAGGGGTTGACTGAATATTTTGTTGATAACTGGGAGGATACCAGGTTTACCTGCTTAGCTGTTTGATGCTGTGTGCAGATCACAAATCTCTAAACTGTAATGTGCTTCAAAATAAGAAATCCTGCTGTCTTGTAACTGGCTGACTGAAGGAAGCTATTAGCTATTGATTTCCTGTGTTTTGCGGCTTTGATATATAAATCTGCATGAGGTACTTTGTAAGCATTCTACAGCTTGTCAAGATATCACCTGACATTTTGAAATGGCTCTAAAGAAACAACTCTGCAATCATATTTTTTTAGAACTAAGACAAAGACTTTAAGTTTTAAAAAATCACTGTAGAAATACTTACTGTCATCTTCTTCCTGGGGAGCCAAAAGAAAGTAAACATTAGCAACATATTATGGCACAGTTCTTAGGAATATTTTGCAAACCAAAAATCTGGAAGTCGGTGAATTCAAAGTATGCAAAGACTCCAATATCTACACTGTCACTATCATGTAAAATGCTGGGCTTTCTATCTTCATGCAACACCAAATCATTTTTAAAGTTCTTGTGTTGAGGTGCAGCTATTATTTACAAATAAGCTGTGAGGTAGATGTCCCATAATGGATATTGACCCAAAGTAGTCGGAAACTCACAGCAGATACAAACTTTCCTTATTCCTTCAGTAAGTGTAGGTTCTCAGAGTGAAATCCTTAGGTCAGCTTAAGCTGAAAAAAAAACCCAAAACCCCAAAACCTAGTGTAAGCAAAATCACTTCTCCCATGTCGCAGAAAAAATCTGGCTTTATTCTTCCTGTTATCTGACATAAAGTACTCCGGGAATAAGCTGAACTTGACATAGAAGTGTTTAAAAAGAAACCATGTGCTATGAAAGATCCATGACTATTCACTATAACTGATAAAAGAAACAAGTTTACCTTTTCTAGAATTATTAGTTTATACAGGTACTTCATTTTATTGTAGTCCCTATACCTTTAAATATTTGCTTTGAGACTATACTTACTTCATTTTTTTTGTGTGATGGCCAACCCTGCCTGAAATGAAATAGAGAAAACAAAACATGACTCATAGGTGGCATATTACTTGTTCACTTTGTGTGCATTAGCCCCTATTTTCAACTAAGACATGAATTAATAGCAAATTTTACAGACCCAATGAATGCAGTAACATTTTTTTCCTCATAAAAATAACTAAGATTCTAATTTTCAGCCATCATCTAAGATGTTATGCTAGTCCTTAGCCCATCTTGATTCGACCAACAAAGAAAATTTCTGATTAATTGATTATAATAACAAGTTTTTACAATGATGAAACATTACACTTCAAGTCTGGAACTCATTTGTAGTACTTAGCAACATTTCTGGAGCACATGATAAACCTTCCAGTCTCTGTTTCTCTGATAACTTATCCTGTCTGATTAGCAGATCTCAACTACTTTCTTATTTTGTTTTTCTATCAGTCACACTGTCCAGCCCACAAGTTATCTAGAAAATGCTAGAGAATGATCTGGTTCTGCTAGAGAATGCTGTTTGCTATTAAGGAGTTTTGCAGTCTCGTAAAATTAATGGTAGGAAAGTAAAGCTTTCTTTTTCTATCATCCTAAAAAAAATAGCAATAGGGCTCATGGAAGAATGTTCCCTAGAGCAAGAACTTGATCTGGTGGAAAAAACATGGTTCATGTATTTTTTTGTGTAGCTTGGAAGTGAGTCATGCCCTACGTAACAGCTGTTTGAGATATGACTGGAGAGGGAGCTTTTTCTGCATTCACACATTTCTGTAGCTTACAGCACATCCCATGTATATTCATAAAGCAAAACTTTGATATCTGCAGACACTGTTGTCATGCAGTAGCAGTAAATTATACTATCCTGTGTTGCTTATCCATATTTCTCTTAAATTTAATTTATCCTTTATTAAATTTCAATTAAATGAACGCTTACTTTGCCGGGGTTTGCTTCCTTAGAGGAGACGGATTGCCTCTTTCATATCTGTCACTTGGTGGGACAGGAGGTTTTGGCATCATTGCTAGCTGTTCCCCCAGGGATCTAAAGCAGGAGCAGGATAATGAAATAAAGGCACAAAGCTGCTTGCTAAGAAATAGCTGGGTAATACTGACATCGAGAGTCTCATTTCCAGAGGCAAAACTCTTACCTTAGCTGTGAAGTCAGAGGCTGTAAAACAACAAGGAATAGTTAAGAGGATGTGTAAGTGTATCAAAATAGGTGAAAAACATCAATAAGCAATAACAAAAAAGGCCTTACCTTTTCAGGAAAGCCTGGCTTCCTCCCTGAAAATAGCAAAAGCTTACATTTAGAAAAAAATAAATTTAAGATGATTAATTAAACTTTCTATGGAACAAAAAAGTTTTGAATATCATTGAAAGTGAATTTTGCAGATTGGAGCACTCAGCCTTCTGAGATGTAAGTCAGAAAAATATTTTGGCTTTGCAAGAGACGGCAAAATTGCAATATCTGTTATTAAAGGAAAATATAAAAATTGTCAGTGTTGCATGTTTTAGAACCATAGTTTCTATGGTTCAGCTTTGAATTACTGGATACATTTATGCTGATTTATATACCAGATGAAAGTGTTTAGATAATTAAAAAAAAATATATTTTTTTTTCCCTA